GGCCTTCCCCCCGCTGTAGTTAGCGTGAGGGGGTAACGCAGCCTCGAGGAGAGGAAGCGACGGCACCCTGCTGCAGAGCGAGGTCCGCTGGGTGCTTTGAGGATACTCCCTGGCTTTTTGGTCCAAAAGCTGAGAAGGTTTTGTTGTTGGAAAAGGGGCAGAGACACCGTCAGAGAGGAGAGAGCATGAAGATCTTCATGTGGACCGTGGATAAACAGTGCCCCATCGTCTAGGCAGTAACAGTCTCTGTCCCGCAGGTGATGCAAGGATGACCATGGCCCAGGCTGGAGCCGTAGTTGCAGCTGCCACCGGACTCCTCGTCTTCTTCCTGTACTCCTCCATCCACAAGGTTGAGGAGGGGCACCTGGCTGTGTATTACAGGTACTGTTCCCTGCCAGTGCCTTGACGGCTTCTGTAGCCTTCCCTAAATTTCTCTTTCTCAGCTGGGATTCATCCCTGGCCCCAGATCACCTTGGGAGGTGATTGCTCTCTCCTGTGTTTCTCTTCAGGTTTTGCCCCGAGGTGGGCAGACCGTGTTGTTTCTGCTCTCTTGCACCAGAAACGATGTGGGCCTGGATAGCCTGGCGCTGTGCAGAACTGTTACGAGTTTTGATCTTTCTGAATCCTCAGCTACTTTTCCTCCCTCTCCTTTCTCCCCTTTTCTGGGTCATAATTTGGATTTCAAAGCTTAGAGGATCAAAGCTCTTGGCCCATCCAGTCTTTTCACATCTGTTGATCTCTCCCTCTTACATCGAGGGTTGTCACCTCTGTCCCAAGACTGTCAGCCAGCCAAAGCACCCGTTTAGTTTTTGCTTTGAAATGGGTCTTCTCCCTGGCTCTGGGCTGAGTTTCACCTGTGGCTCGTAGCTGCCCTGAATAGCATCTATAGAGCAACTTGTTGTCAGTCCATAATAGCGAGTGGTCACAGTCACTAAATGCCACCTCTTGACTAGATTTTGCTTCAAACTTGAATAAAGGAACAGAGAAATTCAGCATCAGCCTTTCTGTGGTTTTTGCCGTACCTGCTATATTTCTGTCCTGTCTTTTCTACCCTTCACACTCACCACTATGGGCTAGTTTCCTTTGCACTGCTCTTTCCTTTAATTACGAGTGTTTTGAACAGCACAGGCCCTTGCGGTTCACTGCAGGAGACCTTACTGCACTATGAGGATCGATCGCTTAGAGCTATGCTCTGTCTCCTGTCTTTTAACCACCTGCCAGTCCCCACAAGAGACTGCGGGTTTTCTTTGTGCTTTGGGTAAGGGACTGGGCCGAATGCCTTGTGGAAATCCAAACTGGCAGTATTGCATCAACTGCTGGATTTTTCCATGGTTACCAGTGAACTATTTAGAGAGGAAGATCTGTATTGAAGCTCTCTGCAATGTTGCAATGATGGAAGAATTTAGCAGTATCTGCCTCCTGTAAAAGTTAATTGCTCACAGGACTGAAGCAAATGATTGTCGAGTTGCAGCAGGCAAGTATCATATGCAGTCAGCTCTTTTGTAGGGGAATTGGTGGCAAATTTGGTGCAGGTGAGTAACATAATTTGCGTTACCACAGCTGTGACCCCTGGTAGTTTGAATGCACCCGCTCGCTTTCAAAGCCAGCACTTATTATTTTCCAGTTGCTTGAGCCTTTTCCCCGTTTTTCTTTCTCTCTGTAGGGGTGGTGCGTTGTTAACTAGTCCCAGTGGACCAGGCTACCACATCATGCTCCCATTCATTACCATGTTCAAATCCGTGCAGGTTAGTATCTTTTCATCTTGGAAGAGGGTGACTGGGAACAGATGTCAGTAGGGATATTGCTGGATGGGGGTGACTTGGGCAACTGGTGTTTGCAGAGGGGCTTGGTAATGTGGTAGTCAGAGCAGCAGCTCCTAGGAAGCCCTTGGTTCCTTCTGCCTTAGGTGCCAGACCCAGCTGTGCACTGGGACTTGTCCTTTTGGTGGTATCTCCACAACACGTGTGTGTTGCTTGGGACAGGAGATGTCTTGCTCTGGGAGGTCAGTCTGTGTTTGTGGCCCTAATTTTTTCTCAGGAGAGCTGCAGGCCTTAGTGCTGCAGGAGCTGAGAGTAGGGAAATGAGCACAGCTCATTTCTATTTCCCAAAAGGCAAGTTGAAAAGAAGTCTGTCTTCTGCCCGCACCTGCAAAAATCAGGATGGAGGCAGAGGACATGTTTTTGGCTTCCTGTTCCTGTGTAATGGTTGTGAGAGTCTGGGCACAGCATGATCTTCCTGAAGAATGGAGAGGTTTTATGAGCACGGGTTGTCTTTTTATTTCAGACCACGTTGCAGACTGATGAAGTGAAAAATGTGCCTTGTGGAACAAGGTATGTTTTTCCTTTGTATTTCTTCTGGTGATGAGCAGATACACTCTTATCGTGTAGTTTGCAGCTAGGTATTTACAGTGCTGTGATACAGAGGCTGAAAAGTAAAGGCACATACCCTAAAATAAGTCCCAAGCATACACACCTGTATCACACTTGGAAATAATAGAGCAGGAGGTACGGGAGGGAGTGCTCTTGCTTTTGCTGGAATTGATGTTCAGAGGGTATTTGCATTTATAGTGATACTCTTGATTTTTCTTGGTTTCTTCCCTTGATTACTCTGATAGCCCGTTGCTTGTGCTTTGGTCTGCCCTCTGCTTTGTGGTATTTCTAGTCTGAATCTTGTGGCTAATACAAGTGTTGACCCCAGCAGTGGGCAAAAGTAAATGGTGGGTGGGAATCCTGATGGGAGATGGTTCATTTCAAAAACAGCTCAAGAAAATGAGTCTCCTGGAATCGTTTGGGCATTTTTGGAATTGACGTTTCACCTGATGTAAAGAGAGAGTGAGAAAGAATAAAGAAGAATCCTATGTGTGGGTAGTACCTGCCTGCTTCATAATTAAGCTGATCCTTTTGTCAGCACAGATGTGTATAGTTTTAACAAGCAGAGCAGTAACAGAAGGAGAGGGCTAGTTGAGCTGGGTTGCAGATCCTGTTGAGTTCGTTCATTCACAAGTTAGTGATGACCGAATCCGTTTCTTCAGGATAAAAGCAAAACTGGTGATTCTCCTTGTCTTTTAACTTTAGGGTACTCAACAATATTTCTGTTTTAAAGAAAAAAAAAAAATATCAGTATGACTTGAATGATGATACATAACAACCATGCTGAAATTAAAAGTTTAATGTTAGTGGCAACACTAATGAGGCAGAGTTAATTTTGATCTGGTTTAGCCCTTATTGAAATGAGTTCTTGGAATTATTCCTATAGAAAATCATCAGACATCACTTGGGCTTAAATATTAACACAAAGTTCTTGTGGGCCCTAGCTGGTTTTAGTTTTAGATCTCAAATCTCTTTCAGGAGTGTCTGTAAATAATGCTAGTGTTCAGTGCTGCAGCCAGGGCTTTGTGGTCAGATGAAGGAGGAGTAAGACTCATTATGTTCTATATCTGTATCTTTTAAATGGCACAGTTAAAAATAAGTTACCAGAGCAGAGTTTTAGCAATGAGTTTAATGGCAACTTTTAGCTCTAAGTAGCATAAATAGGAGTAATACTTCACCTGCTGGATGTTGTAAAACAGTATCACACCTCTGGGCCAGGGATGGTGTCCTGCTGTCCTGCAAGCCTTCTCAACAGACCAAACAAGGCTTTCCGCTGAAGCTTAACCGCGTTAGACATGCTAACACAGTCAAAATTAAACTGTGGTGCTTTGACCCTGCTTGAGCGGGGAGGTTGGACAAGATGACCTGCAGAGGTCCCTGCCAGTCTTGACCGTTCTGTGTGTCTGTGATTTAGGAGCTAAATACTCTGTTTAATTCTGTCTAGTTAGTTCACTAAGTTCCTGTTATATTTCAGCATTGTGGGATTCAGTTGTGCAATATAGGTGGTTGTGAAGTTACAGGTAATAAACATGCTGTAAAACACCAAACAGCTGAAGCAGTTCTTAGTTAATAATTGAATACACTTCAGACCAAAGGTCCCAGTAGCCCTGTCCATTTTTAAGGAGCCTTTAAATTTGCTTCATTTGGAATCAAAGTCTGCAGCTGCTCCATGCCAAAGCTTTGAATCCACATTTCCATAATAAAATGTTAGCTTATAAATAACAAATGGATCAAATCTGAAATTCGCTATCCTGTTTCAAAGTTTGTTACAAGAATAGATCCTAAACAGTTTAAATTTCTGTAATTGTATATTAAACTGTCAGATTTTAAAGGCTGGGTTTCTTTTCCACCATATTCATATTCCTGTTCCCTGTATCCTTATCTAAATTAGGAAGCTTCTGAATGGCTGTGTGGGTGTCCCATCTCCAATTTCTGCCTTACCTGTCCCATTTACACTTGACAGCATTAAGTGAATATGTTAAATCTAGATTTTAAAATACTTTGGCACCAGATGACTGTTTTTCATAAAACAGCTGTCACCACAGAGAAGAAAACCATTTCGTTACAGCAGGTAGAATATGTATCTGCTCTAAGCTATGAATTGCCTCTGGTGTCTGAGATTCCTGGCTTTCCCCAAAAAGAATGTGTGCACGGTTCCTT